TATTTTTGTCATTTTTGGTAAAAAGTGATATTTTCGACTTCTTGTTAAAAACCGCAAGTCCAATTGCTTTGATATTACATTATAGGTACTAACCGGTACATGTGGACCTCCCTCAGATTTGTTCATTTTGTGATGATATCTTCAATTCTCTAATTTTGGTGAATATTTTTGTCATTTTTGGTAAAAAGTGATATTTTCGATTCTTGTTAAAAACCGCAAGTCCAATTGCTTTGATATTACATTATAGGTACTACATGTGGACCTCTCTTAGATTTGTTCATTTTGTGATGATATCTTCAATTCTCTGATTTTGATGAATATTTTTGTCATTTTTGGTAAAAAGTTATATTTTTGACTTCTTGTTAATAATTACAAGTCCTATTGCTTTGATATTACATATATTGGTACTAAATATGGACTTCTCTCATATTTGTTCATTTTGTGTTGATATCTTCAATTCTCTAATTTTGGTGAATATTTTTGTCATTTTTGGTAAAAAGTGATATTTTCGATTCTTGTTAAAAACCGCAAGTCCAATTGCTTTGATATTACATTATAGGTACTACATGTGGACCTCTCTTAGATTTGTTCATTTTGTGATGATATCTACAATTCTCTGATTTTGATGAATATTTTTGTCATTTTTAGTAAAAAGTGATATTTTTGACTTCTTGTTAATAATTACAAGTCCTATTGCTTTGATATTACATAATTTGGTACTACATGCGTACCTCTCTCAGATTTGTTCATTTTGTAATGATATCTTTAATTCTCTAAATTTGGTGAATATTTTTGTCATTTTTGGTAAAAAGTGACATTTTCGACTTCTTGTTAAAAACCGCAAGTCCAATTGCTTTGATATTACATTATAGGTACTACATGTGAACCTCTCTCAGATTTGTTCATTTTGTGATGATATCTTCAATTCTCTAATTTTGATGAATATTTTTGGTAAAAAGTGGTATTTTCGACTTCTTGTTAAAAATCGCAAGTCCAATTGCTTTGATATTACATATATAGATACTACATGTGGACCTCTCTCAGATTTGTTTATTTTGTGATGATATCTTTAATTCTCTAAATTTGGTGAATATTTTTGTCATTTTTGGTAAAAAGTGATATTTTCGACTTTCTGTTAAAAACCGCAAGTCCAATTGCTTTGATATTACATATATAGGTACTACATGTGGACCTCTTTCAGATTTGTTAATTTCGTGTTGATATCTTCAATCATCTAATTTTGGGTGAAAAGTGATATTTTTGAATTCTTTTTGAAAACAGCAAGTCCCATTGCTTTGATACTATACATATTGTTCATTTTCTAATGATACCTTCTGTTCTTTAATTGAAATGTGCATTGCTAACAGCGGAGCTATCTCAGCCGACAGGCTGCTTGTTTTTAGACTGGTAGACATTTTTTTAATCATGTCCATGCCGACTCCTCACTAATATATTGCCTGAGTCAGTAGAATTTTGCATACAAATACAATACTTTTAGGTTGTGCTATTTTGTTATTTGATCAAATGCACTATTCATGTTCATATTAAAAACAGTTTGCTTGAGTACAACTGTAAAAAGGATAGTAGGGTATGTGACATGGACACCCACTCCATATTATGGGAAATTCAAGTGTGTTAGTGCAGCAACCAGGATTGTGGAATCTTACTAATAAACTTTCATGATTTTTGGCTTCCTCTAGTGCTTATAAATATACCTGTGTATAGAGTAATACATTGTATATACACATATTTCAATTCACTAAATCAATGTGAATAATATCATGTTTTTCCATATCTAATTTTGCCATTGCAGTGTTCTCCAAGTGGCTTAAAAATTGGTGTTAAACCCCACTGGCTGTTAAATTAGCTTATATCATAATATTAAAGGAATATTTACTACTTTCCACAGAATTTCCAAGAGTGCAAGAAAATACTGATTGAACGTGGGCAGCTATTTCTGAATAATGTTGCTAATGCAAGACAGAAGATTGCAAAGTTAGGAAATCCCTTCATACAAGACGGCAGTGTGAGTAGATAGAAAACATACAATTAAAGTTGTATAGTATTGCTGTTATCATCTTTTATAAGTGCCCCTCCCATTCCCAGACCTTGTGGTAGGAGATGACTGTAGTGTGAAGTGACTGCATAGGATGAACTGGCCATCTGATACGTACCGGTAGTGACTTCGTCGTAGTGACCATCCCCCATATTGCAGACATGTTCACAGCTAGCTGTGAATTAAGACAGATAATGAGGCAAACATATCCAAGTAAATGGACTACTCTTTTTTTAATTAGAATGCAAAATATACAAGCTCTCCTAATATTTCACCAATTGTATGTTGTTGGAGATGGGTTATATTAGGAAATATCTTTGCTGGAATTTGAATTGTTTTTTTATTGTCATGAAGTTCACAAATCCAGTTTGGGTGATTATTTAAACCAGACATTGGTGGCACTGTTCTGTGATACAGGTGTTTGTTATGTTGGCAAAATACAGATATTGAAGTTCTGAAGTCAGTATCAAGTAGAACTGAGGCACAAAAAATCCTCACTTTGTAAAAAAAAAAAATGTTGCTTGCTGCTCTTTTGGTGTGGTAACATCAGAGTCTATAGGTCTAATTGAAATACAATTTTAATATTTCTGGTTATCACAGATTTTTTCAGGCTTTTTGTCAGAATTTGAAAAAATAATTAAAAAATAATGTTTTTCATGAAGTACCGTAAAATCTGTATTAGAAGCTGCATCCCTAATAGAAGTCGCATCCATTCTATTTGAATAATTGAGAACCAAAAATTCATCATTTCTCATATGTGTAGATGCTCTAATAGAAGCCGCATCCCCTCTGTTGCATTGTACCATTTTAATAGAAGCCGCGGCTTCTAATACATATTTTACAGTAGTTATATGATGCTGTGGAGGATTGATTATTGTTATATATCACAACTATCAGAATTAAGCAAATTTAGTTAAATTGGAAGGGTTTTTGTTGAAATGAATTCAATTGCTAATGCAGGTTTATATTTCCATACATGTATGATAATGTAAAACTATGATGTCATAAAAACCTCATTACTTTCAATAATGTCTAGTGTATAAGTAGTTATTATCATTATTCATTATGTTTTCAGACAATACTAACACATTCGCATTCAAGAGTGGTTTTAAAAGTTCTTAAAGAAGCTGCTGCTGCAAAAAAACGATTCAATGTCTTTGTCACTGAGTCCTGTCCTGATAAATCAGGGTGAGTCATGTCATGTGATTCAAGTAATTAACATACTGGTACATCTCATTATCACATGTACAGGCCAAGTAATCTAGCTCAACCAATCACTGATTATTACATGGATACATGATCCATATTCCCAAATTTCAAATCCTACCAGGGGTTTAACATTAAAAAAGAAGAGCCCCCTAAATTGCAATGATGCCATTACAACACAGCCTTGTCTCAACATAGACCTTGCTTCTAGGGTCTGTGGTCTCATACCAATAGAGCTAAATTCCATCATGAGTTCTTCCTAATACCACTGTATTAGGTAATATAATCCTGTCAATCATTGTTTGAATGTATATTAATGATTGATTTTTTTGTTGAAATGCATGATGTGGAATTTTCACCACTTTGCATTTGCACATAAAAAAAGTTGCGAGAAAAAACGGTGGTATTGTTTTATTCAATAATTTGGAGTTGTTTTTGTCTGCAGTGTTATACTCATTCATTCAAATTCCATCGTGTCTTAGGACCTTAGTAAAAGTTACGTAAAATTGTTATTCCTACAAAAATTTTTAATTTTCACTGAAATGTTTTCCTGAAATAAATGTGGTTTCCAGTAAGTTGTTGATTTTCATTCGTTTGTAGTTGTAAATGCCTACTGCTTGCAAGATCCTTACAAAGCTTGCAATTTTCGCAGAGAGCTCATCAAATGTATGCATTTTACAACTATGAAAACATTTTGTAAATTCCTAAACTATTTTATATCTGTATTTTGTTTCATTCAAGATTGAAGATGGCTAATGATCTCAGAGAGGTTGGAATACCAGTAACTGTAATATTGGATGCTGCAGCAGGGTATGTAATGTGTGGTTAGTCCCCTCAGTGGAGCTATTTTCCACTCCCACAAGTTGAATGGGCTGAACTCCCTTACATTGGCCAATCATGTTAAAGAATTATTCAGTCATTTACATAAACTTTCTGTTTGATATATCATTGTCTGATTTTGGAAGAGAGAAGGGTCACCCATTTACTAACTTGGAGGTAGTCATAGTAACCTCATAGTAACCATGAACACAAAACTATTACTGAAGTGTAATTGCATGTTAGTTTGGAAACTATATTTTACTAGTGTCTGATGATGTATTATAATAGTAGATTCAGGCAGTGAATTTATTGGCTAAGATCTGATGGAAAAACGTCATAAATTTATTGAAGAAATATTTCATTATATGGATTATAGCAATATCTGTACACCTACATTACATGGTTTCCTGTCAGAAAGTCTAACACCTTTCAACATGACTGAAAAAAAATAGTAGGCCATGCATGCAGGACATGTAAGGTTGAATGTCTACATCTGAAATAGTGTTCCAGATACGATAGTTATGCATTTAATGAGGTCAGATAACCATATATAATCATTAAATATCTAATCAGATCTAGTATACAATGTCTTTAATATAACAATGTGAATGTCTCTATCTGCAATAGCATTCCTGATACCCGGTATCACCTGCACTACAAATTAGGGGATAATATGAGGTGATTACAAAGATACCTCAAAGTATACAGAAAGACAGTACAGCGAGAGTATCGACCGACACAACGACGACTGTCTGAGTACATACTTTGAGGTATCTTTGTAATAACCTTATTATTATACATTTTTCCTGCAAAGGATACATCATGGGAATGCTGAAATACAAAAAGTTTAAAAGAGAATCAGCGAACTTCTTTGTGTGGAGTCCGGTCAAACCCTGGTGGTAGCCATGTTTGTTTTTATCATTAGAGAACGCTTACACGCATAATCATTCCATATTTGGAATTTGCATTTCCTAATATGGTAGGATGAAAATACCCCGTAAAATACTGCAAAATTACGGCACGCTGTAACTTATGGCGTTACGGTGACAGAAGTATAATACCCCCTGGTAATAAAAGTTATTTTTTGTATTTTGTTGGATACAGGTATGTGATGGAGAAAGTTGATATGGTGTTAGTTGGTGCAGAGGGTGTGGTGGAGAGTGGTGGCATTATAAATAAGGTAAGTTGATATGTTGATCAGATCATGCAAATATTGGGTAAGCTATTGAGCAATAAATATGAGTTGGTTGCAAGCTTACATACTATAAAAAGCTGACTGCTTTGATCCTCAGTACTCATTGGCGAAACTCTGATACAATGGATGATAATTTATGTTGTATTATCACACTTAAGAAACACTGTTAAGCTTTTTTCAAAAAATTAATGATGAAAATTAACTGAAGTAACATACGGATAAAGTGGGGAAGACTACAAACTAATATTGAATGTTCAGTGGTCCACTCTATCATTTGTTTTATTGTATAAATTGCTGTATAAGTATTGTTTTATTTCATGTAGGTCGGTACATATCAGATAGCTATATGCACCAAGGCAGCAAACAAGCCACTCTATGTCGTAGCAGAGAGTTTTAAATTTGTCAGACTTTATCCACTCAACCAACAAGATGTACCAAATGAATTTAGGGTAAGTCATTATTAGAAACCGTGTGCTTAAAATTAGACAGAATATTTAGTTATTTGAACACATCAGCCACTGATGCCATTTCATTCCATTCATATCAGGTATCTGTGGCTAACTGCAAAAGCTTTTAACAGGTGATTTGTTGCATTTTAGTTTGTCTTTGTGGAAATTGCTGTACACGTACTAGCAAAATACCAACTTGTTATCTACAAACCAGAATTAATAAATTCATTTATTCGCTATTACTTCTTCTCACAAACTGTTAATTTGATTACCCCGGTAGTCAAAATAGGACCATGTGACCATCAATGAATGATTATTATGACCAGTGCTTGCATCTCATATTACTATATTTTAAATAGTGCTGATATAAAATCAGCAAACGGCAATATATCTTGCAGCATATCCTGTCAATACATCTGTCAGCGCAAACTGTCGGTATGTCTTGCCAGCTTACGCTGTCAATGTGCCTGCCAACTCACACTGTCAGTACGTCTGCCAACGTACAGTCAATGCGCCTGCCAACGTACCCAGTCAATATGTCTGGAAGCACACACTGTCAATACTTCTACCAGCACACACTGTCAATATTTATGCCAGCACACGCTGTCAATACGTCTGCCAGCACACGTTGTCAATATGATTATGATAATTTAGCTTTTGTTCTCATTTTCAGTACCGTGCATCTACCCTTGGCAGTAAAAGTAACCTTCAAGATGAACACCCAATCACTGATTACACACCGCCATCATATATTACACTATTATTCACTGATTTGGGCGTATTAACACCATCAGCAGTTAGCGACGAACTCATTAAGTTGTATCTTTGACGAAGAAAAAATAAAAGCACTCATGCTGTAGATTTTCTGAAAATCACATAACGTTTTGGCCTGTGTATGTGCAGCTCAACAAAGAGCCAGTGACAGTTGATGTGTACGTTTTACTTTCATAACTTATATTTTTATCTCAAAACATGGCAGTCATATTGGTAACCCCAAAGTCTTGGAGTGATTGGGTTTTAAATTGCACACTTCATACATACAAAGACAACACAAGATTGTTGGCTTTACAATTGTCACATACATGTAAATGTGATTGGTTCAAATGGATGTGGAGCAGTTACAGTCTCCAATGATTAAAGTTTGTGGTTTACCCGATAGTCTTTCCATATGAACAAATGTGTTGGGTTTGAGGGCCACACGTAAACATGTGGGTTTTCCCACATTTCAGTAGTGTATATTAGTTGAATTATCACATGTACTTTATGTTGATATTAGTTTCTGATTGATCTACATGTAGTTAATTAGTGCATTTATGGTGCATCTTTGCAACAATTTGCTTGAATGGATTGAAACTTAGACATTTATCTTCACTAACAGTATGCATGTACTAACAGTAATCAGTGTATATTAATTAACTAATTTACATACTACATGTATTTAGTTTTTATTTTGTATTGTACTTTTTTCAATTGGAAAGAAACTTGACAAGTTGTACTAGTCTATTTGATTGAAGGCAGGTATACCACAAGATTATGTTTTGAGGATCAACAAAACTTCAGATTCACAAGCTAGCAATATATTTTTGTTAATTCTGAACAATTCTGTGCATATTAATGACCTAATTTGCATGCATTTATCAAGTATTGCATATTTGACTGGAACTTGCTGCATAGATGCTCTAGGGTAATGAAATTCATGCATATTAATAGCCATTGGGCAGAGTACAAAGCATACCAGGTGATCTGGCAAAGATTTTTGAACAGAACAAAGGGACTGTGACAACTCATAAGCCAGTATGAGCCATCAAAGCACAATTGCCCATATTTACTCCATGAATAAATAGATTGTCAATACATTAATTTATGTTGTCTTTTCTGGTGTTGGACCACCTCTAATCTACATAGTAATGATTTATTACAATATCGCAAAATAAATCACGAGATCTACCGGTAGGTCTACAATTACCTATGAATTTATTGCTATGAGATGTCATTCAACAAAACTCATGATTGAGATCGTACATCGTGAAATTGCAAAGCATGTGTATAACGGAAGAAATAAACATTCAAATCAGGCCTTTGCACATATTACAACAAAGTGAAGAGACAAAAAACATGTCCAATGGTTTTGTGAATTCTTTAATATGACAGACTGGTGGTCTTCCAATACTTGCACATGTCTGCTGTCAGGTTTGATACAGTCATGGATCTTTGTCATTCACTACAAATCACTGAAACGCCATAATGAAAGTACTAAACTTCATCGTCTACAATGTTGTCTGCGTTTTGCATACACATGGTATGTCACATATTTTTAGTAGCATATACACATTTGTAGGTTGGTTTACAAAGACGTCATTCTGTTTTTCTTTCAAATCCAAAATGGCACTCTGATATTGATAGTACATTCCTTGATATTATCAAACAAACTAACTATACGAGTGAATGAATCATATGTCATTTATAGTTGAGTTTTTCAATTCTATTCCCAGTTAATCTTCAGATTTTTCGGCAAATCTTGTTGACTGAGTTCATCAAACTTGTTTGTATCTTTGACTTCAGTTTGGTAGAATGTGATAACATCATTTATGGTTTGGAGTTCATTCAATTGGTAATTTGTCGGTGTGTGATGAAGCGTTTCTTGACACGCTGTGAGAACCTGTGAAGTAGAATTAATTAAGCTTCTCATCAAATATAAATAATGAAAAAAGTATTAGCTATAGGAATGTAACCAATATGCTGAGGGCTTTAAGGGTTGTATCAATTGAAATAAAGGCTGTACCAATGTAGGAATCACACAGACTGGTTATGACAGGAAAGTAGTCACACAGCCCTGTTATTTATTCCCAAACATGCAATATGGTTTCTGTTGCTACTGTCAGCACTTGCACAGGCACAGTCAGTGCCTTTTAATGTAGCACAAAAATATATTTTAAAATTCACGATCCATGAAGGCAGACATGACGCTTTTGTAAAAATCAACTCAAAATCAAAATTTTATACCAGAAATATGGCACACTGGAGATAAGTTCATTCGGCCAAGCCTCTAAACAGACCTTGGCAGAACGACCATCAAATATGCGTATTCTAACAGCGCCCCCAGTAGTCAGTTGCTGCTAATCATTGTTCACTCAGTTTGTGTGTTACAAATCATTGGCGTTTCATTTTAAACAAAATGGTGGCGCCCATGAATCGTGATATTTGTGAGGATAAAATTGCGAAAGTTTTCGGTGCTGGTGCCCTCAAGCCTCATCAGGTACAGGCAATCGACGCAGTTTTGTGTGGGAAGGATGTCTTCATAGCAACAAAAACAAGAAGTGGAATTTTGTTTTATAATTTGGTACGTCCAAGCTGATTGGGCACCTTGTTTCGAGGCGTGCCCAATCAGATCTCACTGCTTAAGATACGCAATTAGCTTATCGTGTAGAGGCCTATAGGTCGAAGACAATTCAGACAATGGGATATTATTGATTAGGTTTTTCTTCAAATTTGATACACATTATTTAAAATGGTCACACAGATGAGCTGTTAATAATAAGGGTATTTCAATTTTTCCCAAAAAATTGATTGTTGTAGACAAATGCATCAAGTCCAGCAAAACTAGAATAGTTTCGTACCTTGTATTTGAGAGTTGAATCAAGGAGACTGACTGTTCTCCAATCCTCACTATCTGGACACAATTTTTTTGAAATGGATTCCATTTGTTCCATCAAATTATCTGGTGGTCTGTATGCCCTTTTTAAAGACTGTGGGCTGTAAGAGATAAAGATGTTCAAACTTTCAACATTGAATGGCTTCACTTGTGTACAAAGCAAATGGGATTTTACAGCAGAACAACTGATAATTGTAATTCAGAAAGAAATTATTATTATGAAAGTTTATTAATGAATGTAGAAAGCAAAGTAAAGGTAACAAGTCATGTCAGGACTAGTTATCATGTTAGTTCAATAGTAGACAAATCAGATCATAGAACAAATGACATGTATAATGTAGTTTGTTTTTGATCAGTCAATCTTTGTTTGAGACATGGCTCTAAAACAGCATTTGCATTCAGCCATTTTGAATCTGATATGAAATAAATTATGGTCCTCTAATATACAATGTACATGTGCAATGTATGTATCAAGATGAACCATAGCTGTCCATGTATGTATCAAGATGAACCATAGCTGTCCAGGTATGTATCAA